ACTTTATTGCTGGTGGTATTTTTAATTGTTTCTTATGCATCTGAAAGTTTGAAATAAGAAAAACCAAAGGAGAATTAACATACTTGAGTTGTGTTATTCAATGTATCATTGACTGCCAAAAGAACAAACAGATCTGTCTTAGAGAAAGTGTAACCAGGTTGTTACTTAGAGGCAAGGATAGTGAAATCTCATCTCACATAGTCTGGGCCTGTTGTCTGGAGGGCCAGTCCTTGGGAAAAGACTTCAAGCTGGGAAAGGGAGATAGTAAGTGACAGAGAGTAAGATCCTCACTGAGGTGGATGGCAACAATAGGCTCGACGAAGGCAGAGATAATAATGACGGCCCAGAGTAAGACAAGGTTGTGAGCTGTTGTTAACAGGCTCATGAGTCGTAGCTGACTTGATACCTAACAACATCGTTGGTGGTTTTTTTTTTTATTATTTGTTATTGTTGTTGTTATGGGCCATCGAGTTGCCTGCATATCCCATGGAATACCAGAAGAATAAACAGTTATGTCTTGGAAAAAGTGAAATCTGAGTGCTCCTTGGAGGCAAGGATGATGAAGCTTTATCTCACATACTTTGAGCATATTGCTAGGAGAAGGTATTCCTTGGGAAAAGGCAGCATGTTTGGAAATGTGGAGGGTCAGTGAGAAAGAAGAAAACCATCAATGAGATGGATTAACACATGCATTGGCATAATTGTAGCAAGTGTATCATACATGATGAAGATAGCACAGGATATGACAGGGTTCACATTGGTTGTTCACACGGTCCCTATGAGTAGTACTTGACAGACATACAAGTATATGTATACATGCATGTGCACAGATAAGTAATGAAGTAGGATAAGGGATGAAGTATGCTATATCATTAATGGATTTTTAAACATACTATATTATTGACGATTGTGCTGTCATCGTGTGCTATCATTTTTAAGAGGCATAAACGCAGGTTATATACCTGGATTTCACCTGATGGCATGCATAGGAATCAGATCGATTACATATGTGGAAAAAACTGCTGGAGAAGCTCAATATCAGCTGTGAAAACTAGGCCAGGAGCTGATTGTGGAACAGACCACCAACTACTCATATGCAAATT